AGCCTTCAATCTAGATTACATCTCAACATCAAGAAAACAAAGAGTTTCACCACGGGGCCAACAGGCAACATCAGGATAGAAAGAACAGGGAAGCTGTCAAGGATTTCAATCAACAATCAACACTCATGGTAGCAGCAATCAAGAGATCAAAAGACATACTGAACCGGGCAGATCTGCTGTCAAGGATTTCCTTAAAATGCTAAAGAGCAAGGATGTGAGTTTCAAGATGAAGGTGCCCCTGGCCCAAGCCACAGTATTTTCAATTGTTTCTTAAGCATCTGTAGGTTGGACGATATATAAGGAAGACCAAAGAAAACTCAATGTCTTGAGACAGTGGTGTTGGCATAGAGACCGAATTTATTACAGACTGTCAAAGAACAAATGTGTCCCGGAGGCAGTGCAAGCAGGCTGTGTCTTCCAGGCAGGGATGGCGGAACTGTCTCACGTACTTTGAGCATGCTGTCAGGAGGGGCCTGTCCTTGGAAAAAGACATCCCGCTGGGAAAGGTGGAGGGTCAGGGAATGAGAGGGCACTCCACAAGATGGACCAACACAGTGCCTGCAACATGGCACTGGGCAAGGTGGAGACGGTGAGGACAGTCCAGGAGAGGGCAAGACTTCAATCTGTTGTTCGTAGGGTCACTTGGAGTCATAGTTGACTTAATGATATCTAATAGTAACAAAAACCATTGACCTATTCAATTTAAATTATACATTTCATTCTATACAAGACTTTGAGTATTGTATTAGAACATGAGAAGCCAAAGAAAGAAGTTCAGTAGACGAGCTCTGGTGACCTAGTGGCAAGAAGCTGCACTGCAATCCCAGAGGTTAGTGGTTTGAATCCACCAGGTGCTCTGCTGGAAGAGGGACAATCTCTTCCTGTACCAGTCAGATCCAATTTGACAGTACATGTTGTTGTTGTTGTTGTTATGTGCCGTCGAGTCGCCTGCGACTCATAGCGACCCTATGTACAACAGCCCTAAACTCCGCTCTGTCCTGTGCCAATCGCACTGTCTCTGATACTCCCATCCCAATGACAGTACATAGAAAAAATAATAAAAAAATTTAAAAAAGTTAAGGAGCTAAAAAAAAAAAAGATATCCCAACAACACACACCACACACACACGAAGTTATGGAGCTGAACAGAAGATTTCCAAGGGCAACACTGGAAGACAAAGCAAAGTATGATAATGAAATGTGCAGAGCCAGAAAATCTTGACTGAAAGCAGAGAGGACCAGAGGACTGTCTATGTGTGTTTCTCTAACTATGCAAAGGCATTTGACTGTGTGGATTACAACAAACTGTGGCTGCTGACTCTGATAAGAATGGGAATCCCAGAACATTTGATTGTGCTTATGTGAAACCTATACTTGGACCAGGAGGCAGTCGCCATAATTGAGCAAGGAAACACTGCATGGTTCAAAACTGGAAAGGGTGTACGCCAAAGATGTGTCCTTTCTCTATACCTTTTCAATCTATGTGCAGAACAGATCATCCAGGAGGCTGGACAACAGAGAGTGGAGGGACAGTGCAAGAGAGGAAGACACAGGATGAGATGGATTGACTCAGTGACTAGAGTAATAGGAGTAGGTGTGTCGGTGACAATGAGGCTGGATCAAGATAGATCAGAGTTCAGAGCTGTTGTACAAAAAAAAAAATCCAAACATTGCTGGTGTACACAGGGTCGCTATGAGTCACAAGTGACTTGATGGCACATAACAACAACATTATTTATTATCTAAATACAAAACCAAACCAAAGGCATGCAAGAGTACACTGGTGACTTATCACAGAAGGTGAAAGGCACCTCCACAATGGGAAATGCCAGCAGACACCACTGCCACACAGGAATGAGCCAATAATGAAACCTAACTTTGCCCAAAGATACACTGATGTCAGGTACTTGTGGATGCGACACGCAGACAGCGACACATCACCCCAACACGTTTCTGACAAAAACAGTCAAGCGAAAGCCAGTCAGGAGAAAACTATCAGACAAGTCCACACCAAAAGAACATGTGCATCCTGTATAACACCTGGCTGAGAAGCTGTAAAGGTGTCACAGTCATTAAGGACACGAACCACGCGAGCCTCGTACCAAATTAAAGCCCAGAGAGATCTGACAATGAAGTGTAACTTATATTCTTGATTGAATCTACCAGGTGCTCCATGCAAGGAAGATGGGTAATATCCTCCCAGGCAACTTACTGCCTCTGAAAACTTGCTCGAGGGCCAGCTGTGGATTAGCTCCAAACTGACAATACCAAACAACAGCACACTGAATAATACAATTCCTGAGTGTTTCTTGTATTGTGATTAGGTTGGAGAAAGCCCTGGTTCTTAACAGATACTTGGCTGAAGCATCAGTGGTGAAATGCCAAGAAGTGAGAAATAAAGGCCCCAAAACGCAAACCAATGATCCTCCGTCGGGTTTCCAAAGCTGTCAGTCTGCACTGGTGGATTCAAACCATAGACCTTCCTGTTCCAGGGCGACACAAAAAAGCAGTCCACCACCAGGGCTCCTTGATGCACAGAGATGACTGTGGAAAGATCAGTGTGGAAACTGCCGGAGCTGTGCAGCTTTTGCTTCACTGTGGGCTCGTCCTGACTCACAGTGCTTCTGTGTATTACAGAGTAGAACCCTGCACAGGGTTTTCTTGGTTGTGATGGCTACAGACCAGAGACATGGGTGGAGAAAGAGGTTATGGGACTGGCTGCTCATTGGCTTGGGGGAAGATTACAGCCTTGGAAACTCGGCAGTTCTATCCTGACCTACAGGTTGCTATGCGTCAGAGCTGATATAAGTCCAAACTATAAACATAAGTCATATAAACCCAAACTGCACATACAAGTCAAAAGCATGCCGGAAACTTCGTATTCTAACTGTAGTTCTGTAGTATATCAGTCAGAAAGATAAATGGGTAAGTAATAGTCAATGAAAGAAACAAACATGCCACGTAAAAAGTGAATAAGATGAGTTAGTTATATACATACTTTCCCTATACAGTTTATGACATCTGCAAATTATCAGTTTGTAAAGAATTAAGATACAATGCAAATTTAATATTTCCACACCACAAAACCCCATAAAATAATGGTCAGAATTCTTGGCACTTCTGCCATAAATTATGATTCTGTCTATACAGTGGAAAACTAATTAGGATGACAGAAGAATTGATATCTTTTGAGTTGTGGTGCTGCAGAAGAGTCCTGCCTATACCACGGACTGCCAAGAGAACAAACAGGTCTGTCCTGGAGAGAGTGAAATCAGGTTGCTCTTTGGAGACTAGGACTTTGAAGCTCCATCTCACATACTTCAGGCATGTGGCCAGGAGGGCCCAGTCCTTGGAGAAGGATATTATGCTTGGAAGGGAGAAGGGACTGAGCAGGAGAGAGAGACTCTGGATGAGATGGGTTGACTCAGCGATTGTGGCAATGGGGTCAGGTGTGTCAGAGACGATGACTGGGTCAGGATGGGGCAGTTCAGAGCCATTGTTCATAGGCTCCCTATAAGGATTAGCAGACTGTTGTTGTTGCTGTTGTTATGTGCCCTCGAGTCGCCTGCGACTCATAGGGACCCTATGTACAACAGCCCTAAACTCCGCTCTGTCCTGTGCCAATCGCACTGTCTCTGACACTCCCATCCCAATTATCCCAGTCACTGAATCAATCCACCTCATAGAGGGCCTTCCTCTCCTGTGCCGTCCCTCCACCCTCCCAAGCATGATGTCCCTCTCCAAGGACCGGTCTCTCCTCACAACATGTCCAAAGTAAGTTAGACGGAGCCTCAGAATCCTTGCCTCCAAGGAGCCACCCGGTTTAACCCTCTCCAGGACAAATCTGTTTGTTTTCCTAGTAGTCCACGGTATTCTCAATACTCTTCTCCAGCACCACAGCTCAAAGGCATCAATTCTCCTTCTATCCTCCTTGGTCACTGTCCAACTCTCTGATGCATAACAGGTGATTGTGAAGACCATGGCCTGTATCAGACGCACCTTAGTCTCCAGAGAGACACCAGTAGGTGGCACATAACATCATGCACACAATAATGCGGGGAGGTGGGGAACCATTCTAGTTCGCAGCACTTGTACCATCCGTAACACAAACTCATGTGCCCGTTACATTTTTTTTTCTTATTGTGCATTTTTTAACTATTCTTATTATTAACTTTGATGAAAGTTTACAGAGACTGAGTTTCCATTCATTCATTGTTGCACTTTCTCCCTACCTACCCCTCTCTCCCCCAGTTCCCTCTTCTCTTTGAAAAGTAAAAGAAAAATTCTTTCATTGTTTTACCATCCATCCCCTCCAGGTCCACTGCACTCTGCAGCCTTCATTCTGGACTTCCGTCATGACAATAACACCTCATCACATATCCCTCTTAAGCAGTTCTCTTCCCCATCTGTTTCAATGCAGTCTACATTATTTATGAGTGACCAGCTCAGGAAAGGGTGGTGGTCAGCCTAAGCAGCCATTCTGCGGAGGAAAGGCCTGGCGATCGGCTACTGCCTCCGCACAGCTCGAAACCGGGGCGAGCGTCCTCTGTCCCAGGGGGTCATCGGGCGTCATTTGACAGCTTTTCCCCACGGACCAGCAGCCCTTTTTTTAATTTCAGTAAAAGGCTGCTTTCAAGTTGCTGTAAAAACACTACGGCTCGATGTGCAAACAGCGTTAAAGAAACAGTCCAAATCCAAAATCTCTGTAAATGTTTATTGAAATTAATAAAAAAATTTAAAAAATAAAAAAAAAAAGAAGATGAAGAAAGCTCAGCCCAGCTTTCCTCTCCGGAGGCACTAACGCAGGGAGCGCACCCTGGGCGCGCACTAAATTACAGCCCAAGGTTCAAGAAAAGCGCCTTCGGGTCCACCCCAGCCTTGCACCAGCGCACACTCGCCCCGCAGTCCCTAAAGTCCACGGTGACCTCGTCCTAGCATAGCCTCCCTGGGGGCCACCCCGACCCCCGGGTCCAGCGAGCCCGAACCGGCCTCTCCCCCACCCGGGAGAGCGCAGAAGACGCCGCCTGGGCCGCCGGCCGCCTGGCCGCTCCGATCGCCCGGTCCCCGCGGCCACTCGGTCCCCGCCACCCCTCGCCCCTCCGGACCCCACTCACTCTTCATGCTGAAGCAGAAGCCGGTGACAAGCCGCAGCCGACACGGGACAGAGCAGTCCTCTGGGCCCCCGCTTTTCCCTTCCGCGCGTCAGCGTCCAGCACGAGGACCTCAGCGGTGGCCTCACGACAGCGAGCGTTAGGACCCCGCCGCCATGGTGTATTCCCGTCGCCCTAGCAACCGCGGCCTCGGCCCGCCCCGGCCACCGGCGCGTGCGCAGATGGCCCACCCGTGCGGGCGTGCTTTACGTGCGGGCGTGCTTTACGTGCACGTGTGCCCGGCGCCGCCCGCCCCCGCGGCCCGGTTGCTAGGCAACCTAGGCTGCTGTCAGCGAGTGGCAGTCTCCGCGCTTGTAGGCGACCTTCGCCTTCACGGTTTGAGGCCCAGGCGTGCTGAGGAACGTAGTGATTTGGATTTAATACAGGGAAGATAGCGCAGACTGTTATGTTATGTATCATCGGGTCGGAACCGACTTGGAGCTGACCCTCCAGCCGGAAACACGTGCCTTTGGCTGGCAGCGCAGATCCTTACCCAAGTCCATTTAGAGCTCTCTCTATTAGCCAAATGCAAAGGACACAAATTGTGGCTAATCTTTAATTGTGCTTAGAGCCCTGGAAGATTGGGGTCTAGCACTAGGAATAAACCTTTCATAAAAGAAAAAAAAAAAAAAACACAAATTGTGCCTAATCTTGAGGAAAATAGGAATCCTACAACACTTGATTGTGCTTACGGGAAACCTATGGTTGGACCAGGAAGCAGTCCTCAGCACAGAGCAGGGACACTGCATGGTTCAAAATCAGGAGAAGAGTGCGTCAGGGATGCATCCTGTCTCCAAACCTTTTCAATCTATATGCAGAACAGATCATCCAGAAGGTTGAGCTCTATGGGGAGGAATGTGACATCAGGATTGGAGGAAGACTCATTAACAACACCCTGCGTTATGCGGATGACACAACCCAGCTTGCTGAAACTGAGAAGGACCTGAAGCACTTCCTGCAGAAGGTCAAGGACTGCAGCCTTTCAATATAGATTGAAGCTCAACGTCAAGAAAACAAAGATTCTTGTTACTGGGCTAATTGGCAACATCATGATAGGCGGTGAAGAGATTGAGACTGTTAATAGCTTTAGTTTACTTGGCTCCATAATGAGCACTCTTGGTACCAGCAGCCAGAAAATCAAGAGACAATTTGCATTGGGAAACTCTGCTGTCAGGGAACTCTCCAGAGTACTGAAGAGCGATAATGTCAGCCTGGAGACTAAGGTGTGCCTGATCCAGCCCATGGTCTTTGCAGTTACTTGCTATGCATCAGAAAGCTGGACAATGAGTAGGGATGATAGAAGGATAATTGATGCCTTTGAGCTGTTGTGCTGGAGAAGAGAATTGAATATACTGTAAACTGCGAAGAGCACAAACAGGTTCGTCCTAGATAGGGTAAGACCATTCTGCTCCTTGGAGGCAAGGATTCTGAAGCTTCATCTGACATACTTTGGACATGTTGCAAGGAGAGACCAATCCTTGAAGAGGGACATCATGTTTGGGAAGGTGGAGGGACAGCAAGAGCGGAAGACCCAGAATGAGATGAATTGATTCCGTGACTGAGGTAATGGAGGTAGGGGTGTCAGAGACAATAAGGTTGGCTCAGGATAAAGCAGTGTTCAGAGCTGTTGTACATAGGGTCACTATGAGTTGCAGGCAACTTGACGGCATGTAACAATAACATATTTACTGCAAGAGAAGGATGGGCATTCTCCTCCTGTGCGATTGACTGCCTCCAAAAACCCGCCAGAGGGTCAGCAATAGGTTGGTTCCGACTCTACAGTACACAACAACAACAACATATGATTTATTGTTATTAAATGACACAGAGTCTCGTACAGTCCATAGCAACCCTTTGAAAAACAGATCTGAACCCTGTTTTATCCCATGCCTGCATTATCATCTTCGACATATTTGAGCTCATTGCCACCAACACTGTATCATTATGTCTCTTTGAGGGTCTTCCTCTCCTTGACTGATCCTCCACCTGCCCAGGCATGATGTTCCTTTCCAAGGAATAGCCTCTCCTAACAACATGTCCATAATATGTGAGTCAAGGTTTACCACGTTTGCCTCCAAGAGACAATCTGGTTTCACTTTCTCTAAAATATATTTCTGTGTTTGTTCTTTTGGAAGCCCATGGACTATCCCATACTCCTCCAACACCACAGCTCAAAGGCATCAATTATTCTTCTGTCATCCTTATTCATTTTCTAGCTCTCATATGCATAGCAGTTGATTGGAAAAACCATGGCTTGAATGAGGCGCACCTTAGTCTTTAAACTGACATCACGACTCTTTTCCAATACCACAACTCAATGACATCGATTATTCTTCTATCATCTTTATTTATTGTCCAGTGTAGCAAGTGATTGGAAAGACTATGACTTGAATCTAGTGCACATTAGTCCTTAAAATGACATCATTGCTCTTCTGGACTTTGGAAAGATCTTTGACAGTAGGCTTTACCTATACTGTACATTTCCTGATCTCTTGACTGCTAGTACCAAGGGTGTTTGTTGACTATGAATCCAAGTAAAAAGGAATCATTGGTGATTTCAATCTTTTCCCCATCTATCATGATGTTATTTATCAGCCCAGTGTTATTTTTCTTTTCTTGATGTTGAGATGTAATCCATATTGAAGGCTGAAAGTCCCTGACCCAATGCAGCAAGTGCTTCAGATTCTCCTTGCTTTCAGCAAACAAGTTTCAGCTATGTGCATAACACAAATTATTAATGAGTCTTCTTCCAATCCCAATGTCACACTCTTCTTAATCAAGTCCAGCTTCTCTACTAATCTGTTCAGCATATAGATTAAATAGGTATGGAGAAAGGATAGAGCCCTGATGCATTCCTTTCCCGATTTTAAACCATGCAATGTTCCCTTGCTCAGTTTGAACAACAGCTCCTTAGCCTAGAAATAGATTTCATAGGATAATTAAGTGTTCTGTAATTTCCATTCTTCTCCATGTTAGCCATAGTTTGTTATGATCCACACAGTCAAATGCCTTTGTGTAAGAAAACACAAATAGATGTTCTTCTGATACGGTGAAAGCATGCAGCCCTCAGGCACACTTTGCTGGTTTTTTATCATTCAGTGTTCCACCTCTTGGTCCATAGGTTCTACTTGAGCACAAGTAAGTGTTCTGGAATTCCCTTCCAACCCATTGCTATCTATAATTTGTTATGTTCCACACACCCTAATAATGTTTTGGCAAAGTCAATAAAACACAAGTAAACATCTTTCTAGTATTCTCTACTTTTAGCCAAGATTCATCTGACATCAGCAATGATCTCCCTCATGACAAGGCCTCTTCTGAATCCAGTTTGAACTCCTGGCAAATCTATGTCTATTATGCTAATGTTCCAGCCATTTTAAAATAATCTTCACCGAGATTTTACATGCATGTGATATTAATGATACTGTGTCTGATATTTCTGAACTCTGTTGTATCATGTGTATGTGTGTTTTTTAAAATAAAGAAATAGAAATAAAAATGGCTTTTTGGTGGCTTAAGTGGTAAGGCATTGCACTGCCAACCCAAAGTCTTAACTTTCAAATCTGCCAGCTTCTCTGTGGGAGTAACATGGGCAGTTTACTCTCTTGCAATTTACTGCCTATGAAAAACCACTGGAGGGTCAGCTTTGGGTCAGTCCTGACAGTGTACAAGAACAACAACAACAACTTCCAAAAGGCAGCATCAACAAATAAATAAAATAGTTTAAAATGTCAATTATTTGTGGCATCAGGATTGGTGGAAGATCTATTAACAATCTACTTTATGCAGATGACACAACCCTGCTTGCTGAAACTGAGGAGGACCTCATGCACTTGCTGCAAAGGGTCAAGGACTGCAGCCTTCAGCATGGACTGAGGCTCAATGTCAAGAAGACAAAGATTCTCACCACTGGACCAATTGGCAGCATCAGGATGGATGACGAAGAGATTGAGATTGTTCACAGCTTCAGTTTGCTTGGCTCCACAGTCAACACTCTTGGCACCAGCAGCCAGGAAATCAAAAAGCGTATCGCGATGGGAAAGTCTGCTGTTAGGGACCTCTCTAAAGTACTCAGGAGCAACAGTGTCTCTCTGGAGACTAAGGTGCACCTGATACAGGCCATGGTCTTTGCAATCGCTTGTTATGCATCAGAGAGTTGGACAATGACTAGGGAGGACAGAAGGAGAGTTGATGCCTTTGAGCTGTGGTGCTGGAGAAGAGTACTGAACGTACCATGGACTGCCAGAAAAACAAACAGATTCATCCTGGAGAGGATTAAACCAAGCAACTCCTTGGAGGCAAGGTTTCTGGGGCTCCGTCTGACATACTTTGGACATGTTGCCAGGAGGGACGGGTCCTTGGAGAGGGACATCATGCTTGGGAGGGTGGAGGGACGGCGCAGGAGGGAAAGGCCCTCTATGAGGTGGACTGATTCAGTGACTGGGGTAATCGGGATGGTGTGTCAGAGGCAGTGCAGTTGGCACAGGATAGAGCAGGGTTTAGGGCTGTTGTGCATAGGGTCGCTATGAGTCGCAAATGACTCGACGGCACATAACAACAACAACAACAGCACTTGTATCCATGAACAACAACTGTGGAAGTAGCAGTCAACAAATCCATACAGGTTTTACATCAGACAAATGTGTTGTCAAGGACCTCTTTAAAGTGCTAAAGATCAAAGATGTCTGTCTAAGGGCGAAGGTGCCTCTGACTCAAGCCATGATATTTTTCAGTTGCTTCACACATATGTGAAAGTTGGACAATGAATAAGGGAGACTGAAGATCCATTCCCCCCCCCTTTTTTTTTAGCATCTATGCTTTTGAATTGCATTGTTGGTGAAGAGTATTGGCTGTTCCATGGATTCCCAAAAGAACAAAAAAACTTGTTTTGGAAAAATACAGCCAGGTTACACCTGAGGGGCAATGAGGAGGAAACTTTCTCACATACTTCAGTATGTTCTCAGGAGAAAC